ATGATATTCAATATTTTGATTTATTTTAATTTCACGATATATAATATATAAAGCAAATAAGTAAAATATTTAAAGAATTTTGCATAAAACATATCGTTATCCTCCCTAAAAAATCAATTAAAAAAATATTTTTAAATAAAAACTTATTGTCAAAGAAAATATTTAAAAAGTTATACAAAATTATATTTTTTGTAATTTTTGTTTTATATTTTTAAATTACCCTTTCATCTAATTCTTTACTCTTTCTTCTTTTTCCAGTATATATATATATTCTGCTGATTAGCAAAGACAAATCGGTAAGTGCCTTACTTAGTTTTATTAAATTTTATATTGCATATGTATTAAGTAGATATCTAATATTGCTCTAGCAAAATTATAACAATTCCTTAAACCAACCCGAATTAAAGCCAAGTTAACCAACAGTTTAATTCCATAAGAATTCCAGCTGGTGAAATTTTTTGCCCAAGTAAAAACAATAAAAGACGCCTTGCAAGTGTTGCTTAAATAAAATACTTTTATTTATTTGTTTATTGCACAGAAAAGGCATCGCTTATTGTCTAAACAGTGACAAATCACACCCAGTTAAATATATACATATATATCTGTCTATATATCTTTGCTTTCGTAAGACTTGTCCATTTCATTCGATCATTATTTTGGTTTATATTTGCTTAATATGCGAAAATTACGTATGTGTGTGTGAGTGTGTAGGAGTGTGTGTGTGAGTGGTCGTTTGGTTCTCATGTTGATGACACGCCCACAATGCGTGACGCCCACACGTGGACATTATTAGACAAAAGGATGCCGCGTGCGCCGCTTGGCCTTGACGGGATAATCGTAACCCTCGAAATCATCATCGAGCTCATCCTGCTGATGATAATGATGATGGCTATGACTGCTGCGATGATGCTTCTTTGGCTCCTTGTGCTCCTTGACCGGCACCGGGATGGGCAACGGCACCTTCTTTATCACCGTGTTCGTGTGCACATGCGTATGATGCTTCACTGGCACATGGATGCGTATCCTGCGAATTGTCGATTGTGAATGTGAGTGTGAATGTGAATGTGAATGTGAATGTGAGTGTGATTGTGAATAAAAACTGGATTCAGTTGGAGTTAGGGCTTGCGCTTGGCTTTGGATTTGGCTTGGGGGAGTGGGGGCTTTGGGTTCTCTGTTGTTTGTGGACCTGTCGTTAAAGGCGTGGCCGTTACACTTACTTAAGCTTGTCGTTTGATGGATGGCCGCTTGTCAGGGCAAACATCATGCAAGTGATAAACAGCAAACTTAATGCCTGCAAAAAAGGAGAGAAACAGAACACACACACACAAATGAACAGGAAGAGCGTGTACATGTGTGAGTGTGTGCGGAAAGCAGTTGAATAGGGTTTCTTGGTATGAGCGTCCGATGTGTCTTATAGCTCGAGGGGACATATATGATATATTTAACATTTTAGCTCTTGGTTTATGGCTGTAGGGGATGCTTTACTTAAGTAAATAATATTCAACCAAGGCATTGAATTAAGGTTTTAGGATTAATTTTATAACTAAAAGTCTCTATAAATAATTTATATATTTCAAACTATATTTAGATATTATATTAAAAACACTTAAATTAAATAAAATTGTTTA